GGAAGGGTCAGCAGATAGTGGACAGGCTGAATCAGGTCACTCAGGAGAGGGTCAAACTGAAGGCAGAGAAAGGCAGGGGCTTTCAGGGCAGTTTGATGCCCCTCCCACTCGTGTCTCGCCTGCCCCCAGCCTCCAAGAAGCTGAAAAGGATACTGCATTTTAGTTGGAAATAAATCGGCAAGTGACCTGTTGTTAAGCCCTGGGAAAGCTGGTATGGTTTGTTTGCTTGACCTTTTTAAGGAACTTGGTGTACGCATGAGAGCTGTGAAAGTCAGCCTCTGGCCAGCCCCCACGAGTCCCCCACCCAGGCGGGAACAGAAGGTCACACTGAACCCTACTCACCATCTCTGAGCACAGGGGAGTGCCCGCCCCGTTCCCTCTTCTGGATCCCTCGCATCCCACTCTCACACAGAGAACAACCACGATTCCCACTGTGCTTTCAGAGTTGTCACAGTTTGTGTCTTCCCACTGCTGCCCCAACGAGCAATTCCTTCAGCTGGGGCTTCCTTGGTGTTGCTCCTCGCGCCTCTTCCTCGCTCACACCACCCTTTGCAGGAAACTATCATCAGACCCAGAAACCGTGACAGCTTTTACCACCCAGTACTGTTGAAGGTAGTGAACCAAGGGGCTCCAGCCAGCAGTTTACCTCAAAGTCGTGTCATGTTCCGAGCTCCTTGTAGACGGAGGTTTGGCTGTGGCCTGCCTGGAGTGTGCACCAGTGGGAGATTCCCCTGGGGAGTTACCAGCCCAGCAGCAGCTTGCCTGCCGCAGCATGCCTCAACTGTTTCCTGGCCCTGTCCTGCCTCTCCCAATCCCAGGGGCAACTGCAGCCACGGACCCTGCACCAGGAGCCCCCTGGGAACTCCCTGCCCGTGGCTCCTCCAGCAAAGGAAACTCCAAACTGTGCTTAGGCCCTTCCATGGAAAGTCTGCCCCTCTTCTGGCACACTGCCCCAGCTGCGGGGTTTTTTTCCCCCTCCACAATTTTACCGATTTCTTACTTTTAAACCCATTTGCCAGTTGCTACTTTCTGTTCTAACAGGCTACTGCTGGCTGATTCTGTGGGCACAAAGGCGACCGAAGCACTTACCTGGCACTACCGCACGTTTTCAGTGAAAACGGGGCCAGGGCAGGGGTTCAAGGCAACTATTTGACCAGGCATTTACTGAAGCTGAGATTTGTCAATTCCTGATTTTAACACTCCGTGGAAAGTTTGTAGTTTAAAACCGTATGCGGGAAATGCGAGCTGAAATTTCCCCCCGTCTTTGATCAACGTGGCAGCGTGCTGCTGTGAAGTGAAACCACGTGGGCTGACGGGTGAGAATTATCCCCCAAGGGCATTGCGTTAGGAACACAACAGTGCTGATTTAGCACGGATGTTAATCTTGAACTATATGAATGCTGCTGTGTTCCTGCTTTTATGGCACTTGGGGAAGAAATCAAAATAATTTCAAAATACAGAAGCCTTCCTTCTATGGTTCTTGGGCGCTTCAACATTTGTATGAACCTTGAAATGAGCAACTGCATGGTGGAAGGTAGAGCTGTGCTTTTGTAATAGTTATCACTCGAAACACCTCAACGGCCTGCCTTTGTAGTCTCTTGCGGGTTGAGCTCTGCGTAAACAGAGGTCTTGATGCAGCGAAGGGAGGATGAAAGCCAGGCAGATACCGGTGGTAGGCTGGGAACTCCCAGCCTTACTAGGGCAGATGCAGTTGCTGCTAGATCCCCATGTTATTTATTAGGAACATTCAAGTCTAAGAGTATTTTAGTAAGAGTGCACCTCCAACTTCTACTTAGGAGTTGAAACTCACAACCCTCTCTCCACACGGCTGCTTTTGAATCCCGTTCTACTGTCAGGAGGTCCAAGGAACTAACAGGTCTCCTGCTCTTGAATTTACCAAGTCATGCCATCTGAAGGTGAGTTTTTCCCATTCAGGTACTTACAGCAGAAATTTGAGACTACATACAGCCTTTTAAAATTACATTGCACACACCCGATGGCATCACAGCAGCTGCATTGCAACAAGGTAAATGAGAACTGAATTTCCCGTGAGCTTTCTTGCCAAGTTGCACTAGCTTTGGGTAGTGAGTATCAGTAGAGGGGCTGGCTCCATTACGAGTGCCAGGTATGCAGACAGGCTAACGTAAGGCGTGAGAGGGATCACATGAAACTTTGCAATCAATCCTCCCTCTCCTGAGGAAGAAGCGTGAAGGACACAAACTCCAGTTGTTCCCACAAACTATTCTGTTTGTGGTTTTGTTGTTTTGGGGTTTTGCATTTTCCCGCACTACTATCCATTACAACATTCAGACAAGATTTCTTAGAGAAAAAATGGCAAACAAGACCTGACTCTGTGGTACAGCTACGTGGCAGGTGGAGTTCAAGGCTTCCTATAATTTCTTCTACACTTTGCAGCTCTTGGCAGCTCACGTGGGTTGGAGACAGTACTTCTTATATGGACGTGTGTACTGGAACTGCAAACATTGAGCAACGCATACCGCGGCCGTCTTGGTTAAGCAAAACTCTTCAGCACAGCATGATCCGCTCCATTTCAAACAATGCTTCTGCAGAAAGCTGTTTGTGAACAAAGCCATTCTTACGTTGGCTTGCATCCCATTAGATCTTACATATAAACCAGGTGGAGCTTTCAGTGATCTGCAGTGTTGAGGTTACCTGGCGCTCAGTTCTCAGAACAGACGTGTCAGAACCACGTACCGACGTACGATCTCGCCCCTTCCCACTGGAACAAGCCATCAGCCTCTGCTTGTGCTCCATGCTCCTTTGTGCCAGCACAGAACAGGGCTCCCAGCAGCCTCAGACACAACCAGTACCAGCCAGTATCTTGCCTGAACCCGTACCTCTGCACTCCCGCCAGATCCGCTGCACAGCTTTCCAAGCCCAGGCAGAGGATGTTTACAGAAGTCACAGGCTTTGCCTGAATTCCTCCTATGCCATGTAACCTGTCAAACCCCACCTTCATTAGAGCTCTAACTACTGGAATTATTTCTTAGGGATATCTAATTACACAGCCAATTTAATTACAAGGACCTGGAATTGATGCTTGCCTATTTTAACAGCTTGATCATGTTGAGTGCTTTAAATAGGATGCCTGTATTAACATCTATTTATATTGATTTACAGCCCCTTTCAGCCAGCTGCCGTAGGATGATGGATTAGCTGTTACTAACAGCATCTCAGGAAGCAAGGAAGGTTTACTTTAGCACTCTCATGAAGGAATAGGCACACGAGCGTAGGGGAGTGGCATATAGGGCCAACACAACTTCAGAACTTCCACCATCCTTCACAGCAAATGCAGTCGCACCCACCTGCCGAGGTGAAATTTGCATCTCTTAGAGGGCAAGTTATCTTGTGCCTAACACACCTGACATGAACAGCTCGTGTTCAGAATTTGTTGCCCAGTCACCAGCCACCCTTCCCTCAGCAGCAGCATTTTAGGGCCAGGGTCTCAAGCTGCAATCCCTGAAGAACAGCCTCAACAACTGGACACGCCCCTCCACAATAATCTGTCTAAAATAGCAATAAAATCCTTTTAAAAGGTCATAGTTTTCAGTTCACACATGCCAAAATAGAGGTCCATGGACTCCAGAGAGCTTTGGTCTGATCCCAGCACTGTCTTACATCCTTCAGCTTACTGGGTGTGGGGGGAGGGGAGCCAGAGAACCATGCTGGAAGTGCTCAAGCACCATCTCTTCAAGAATGCAGGAGCAGTACCCTAAGTTAGTAAAAAGGAAAAGCTCCAGTCAAGACACCAACTCAGCAGCTGTAGCCGAGATCCTTCCTAGGCAGGATTGCTGAATCTCCAAATCTCTGCTCTCAAGGTGTGTTTTTCCATTTCTCTCCTCTCACTGGGATATACTGCATACATTTGGGGCAACTAACTGTAGGAAAGTTCCTCACAAAGAGAATTCTGAAGGCTGTTTTCCAGCTGGGGTATGTCAGCTGAAGTACACTGTCTGGACAAAGGTGGTTACACCACATCAGTTCTCTTCCCTGCCTTGACATCTCCATGCATCTGAGGAAACTTCATTCCCTCATAAAACATCGGACAACATTCAGGGCTGTAAACATCAAAATACTTCAATTTTCAATTCAGGAA